TCAATGAAAATGGCTAATTTTAATTTCCAATTTGATTTTTGAGCTTCCAAGAACACTAGTTAACAACCTTTGTTTTCAAAAATTTAAGTTGCACTTTTCATTTACACCATTTCCTCATCACCTTTACTTAAGCACTACACACAAGCTATATTTTATTTTTGTTTATAGAAATTGCTTTTCGTGCTAAACAATCAAACTACTTCTCTTATTTTCTTGTTAAAATTTTCATTATCGCATTTGATTAAACTAACACACTCTACTTATAGATCTATCTCTCAGGCCATAATCTCCGTGCTTAGCGAGCTCGTAACACCAGAGGTGTTACAAGGTGACGGCAACCACCAAGAGAAACAAGAAATCCACAGCCACAACGATCCCCAAGTGCCACTAGATATAATTACTCAAGCAAATGCACTTGGAATCACTCCCAATCTCACTATAATCATGAATCAATGATGAAGATGAGTGAAAGGTGTTTGCTTAAGCTCACAAGGATGTCAAGTATGTCAAAGTACCAAGAGAGTGAGCCCCAAGCCGGTACCTTCTTATTTATAGAGCCCCAAGACTCAAAGACTCGTTGGGCACTCTCGGTCTGACCGGACGCACCCCAGCGTCCGGTCGGCCAGCGTCCGGTCGCCAACAGCCGTCCATGTGTCCCCGTTTGAACCAGAGCCACTCGATCTCAACGGTCGAATCCCGAGCACGCGAACAGTTAAGTTACGACCGGACTCGCTGCTCGAACGACCGGACTCTGAACCAAACAGCATCAGATCAATTCCAGAGAGGTTCTAGAGCCGTTTTAAACTGACCGGACGCGTCCGATCATCAACGACCTGACGCGCCTGGCGTCCGGTCCTCACAGGTGCTCACTCACTGCGCTGTCGTCATTGTATGTCAGCCTCGACCTGACTCGGACCCTGCGCGTCCGATCGCGTCAAAGCGCTCCTCGGGAAAAGGTGACCAGACTCATAGGTGAGTAGTGTTCGGTCCTTCTCTGCCCTCTATTCCAACTGCGCTGCCTCGGTTAAAAATGATCGGACTCGCCTTACCAGCGTCCGGTCAGAACGTGTCCAGCGTCCGGTCGACGTGCAGCTCCTTTTCTTTTTTCTAAGTCCGCAACCTCTTCACCCTTGCTTTCAACTTACTAACCACAAAGTGTAGAACTTGTGTGCACGTGTGTCAGCATGTTTCAAGCATTTTACAAGGGTCAAAGTTAGCATACTAGGTTCCTAAATGCATATGCAAAAGTCATGTCACCTAGTGGCACTCGATAAACCGTTTAGCCAAATATTTCCCCTCTTTATAGTACAGTTATCAATTCTAAGTCACTCACACCCTCTATGATATCTTGAGTGTAAAACAAAAACCTATCATATACCTTTGTCTTGATCTTCTCAATTTTTGTTTTTCTCTTTCTTCTTTTCCAAGTTGAGCTTGATCATCTTCAATTCATGTCCACCTCCATCACCATAGACCTTATCTTGCTCAAACACTTGGATTGGACCATCTTTTCTAATTCACACACTTAGATCAAAGGTTAGTCCTATATTTTATCAATTATCCAAAATCAATCCAGCCTTTCACCCCTCCACCACTTAAACCATGCGCGTAAAACTAACGGAACAAGATCACTGGATGGGATCTCATGTTCGTCCACATCAGGCAAGAAATAATCAACTGCATTAGCAGCAAAACTATCATAGATTTGCCTCAGCGTTGTTGGGTTGGTAATTCCGCACCACTTTTCTGCGACAAATCCAATCAAGTTGGGTTTCTCAAATCCCCACCTGCTCTTCTTTTTTTCTAAAAAAAGGCCAAAGGGACTCAAGAAATGGGGGCACAAACTCTTGGTCATATGTCTAGACCCCATAAGCAATACTGCAATAATCTTTTATAAATGGATAGAAATTTTTGAGGAAGTTATCGAAGGTGAAGGTGAGGATGCTAGTGGCGGTTGCCCCTAAGAAAAAGGATGCGGCAAAAATACATTTTTTAGCCCTCTGCTCTTGGAATTGATTAATTGGCTTGAGCGCTCTGATTAAATATAAAGGTTAAATGGGGAAAGGGATCGAGTACGACAGCGTCGGCCGCGATTTCCTCACCTTTGTGCGACTCTACAACCGTAAACAGTGGTGCTTGATTGCAGCATTTGCTAGGTAGTACTCCTTATTAACCTAATACAACTGTAAACACGAAGCTAGCACAGGGAGGAATCAAGAAAGGGAGAAAGTATGAGTGCGGTAAAATCCACCTAAACAGTTAGTGCTGGTAGCTTACCTAAACACTGAAGACACCAGCCCCGGTCCTGCAATCCACCTGGGCGACGCTACGATGGATGTCCACAAACGCAAGTATGAATGCGGTAAAATCCCCAGGGGCCAGGGCAATCTGCTACGTGGGGGGTACGCTGGCTTCTTTTTTTATATATAAAATTTGCTGGGCATGTTTTAACATTCATCAGGGAAGAAGCAAAGTACAACAATAAATTGGTATATCTCTACACCAAATAAAAAGACTAAGGACCGTAACCGCATCATCTGTTCGGTGATACCAAGTCTCAATCCCTGCTCATGTTTCTGTGTCCGATACGAATCATCTTCCACTCGGACATCACACGTCCATGTTCTACATAGTTCCGATACGAATTCCTTAGAGCTCATGCGTCGACGTCCGATTACTGAGGTTCAGTAAAAAGATCATAACCACGGCATATATCTAGTAGGAAAAAACACCTTAGCAAATGAACAACAACATGACAAACCACTACAGAACCACACTTCTGGCAAAACCACTAAAGCATCGGTGGATGAAGTGTTCTACACTTGTTCTAACTTCCTTAGGGTTCAATAGACTCCAAGACTCTCCAACACAATTGTGAGATAGAGTATATATAAGGTCTCCATTGGAACATAACCGTTGCAATCAGTTGACAAACAAATACGGAGAGGTCTCCCTAAGTCATAAGTCATAGAGTGAAAACTCATGACTTAGGAAGATCGTGTGCGACTCCTTGTTGGTCTCACATAGATCTACAATAGTGGCCATAGCTCGTGAGCATTCTTATCCGGTTCCACGGCGAGGTTGAGGTCGACCACACTCTTAGCATCCAAGCCAAACAACTAGCTGCGGATGTGGCAGTCTATCTGCTCCCAATATAAATCATCGGGGCGCATGAACGAAGCTGTCGATGTGTACTTGAATAAAACCCACTTGTCGTAATTTGAGTTTTTCATCTCCAGGGTGATGAGCACATGAGACTTCACGGTTACGACAGCATAAGGATTGACGAAGGCAGGCAATGCGCGTTGGGAGGTTGGTTCGAGAAAATTTTGTGTCGCGTCGCGGTCAATTAGGCTGATGACTACTGGACACAGCTAGGCCATCGTGAAGCAGATCCTTGTAAAACAAAAGGGAGATCACAATTTAGTTCTGAAAACACGATACGGCGGGCTATACTTTTGTTTCTCTTATAGTTCACTAGATACCTGCAATGTTCGTGACTATGCGCAGACTAAGGGTGCATCTAGATAGAGCGAATTATGATCCAAATTGCTTTGACTTGAAATAAGTTGCAAGATTGGTCCCGGGGAGTAACCTCTCATCCAAAACTGGAGGGAAGAGTTTACCTGATGATAATACCACAATAGTAACGCTGTGGAGGGCTAATTGGTAGGTCCTCATGTGTGATGATTGATCTCGTACTGCAATTGGTAGTTTTATGTTTGTGTTGTGGCATCTAGGACCGGGAGGATTTTATTATACTGTTACATATCTGAGTATTGAGCAGAATCTTTTGGATCAAGTTAGTTATTACTCTATCCGATCCAAATTATAAGATAATATATTAATTATACTGTGTACCTATACATAGTATATATCTTTTATTGCGAAAGACGCATAATATATATCTAAATACATAACAAAGTTATCTATCTAAAAAAACCAAAACATCTTATAATTTAAAACGGATGGAGTATTGCTAAATCTGTAGTGACAAGTTTACATACACATGCACATCGATTGGTCCTGGAAATTTCTGCTGAATAAGCATAGAATTAATGATGTGCTCCAAAACAATCTGCTATGCATATGTATGTTTTATAGCGCTCTGGGGCAAGTTGGGCTCGATTCAGTGGTACATTAAGGCAAAGTGGAAAAGAAGTTTTGTTTACTTTTAGTTTTGGAGAAAGTGGAAAAGCCGTTTCTTTTTGTGCTGCATTTGTTTGCAAGCAAACAAAAAGGTGCGGTAAAGAACAAAGAACACATCAAGCAACGCCAAATGAAAAGTACGGTTTCAACATCGTAAGAAAACTGTGTACGAAATGCTGCAACTGCAAGGTGTAAGGTAACAAACAACAAAGGAAAGACCGAAGGTCAAGACAAACGCAAAAAATTATCCACGTTCCTGTTCTCTGAATAAGCGCGTGCATATAAAAATGGTAGAAATAGAAAATGAAGCAATGATCTTATGTTCAGCCTGTTCGCTTGTTAGTTTCAGCCAACCCAAACTAGCTAGTCAACAGTGTTTTTCTCTCAAAAAAACCAATACCAGTCAGCCCAAACCAGCACCAACCAACGAACATGCCCGTTATATCCTACACCACCATCTTGTCTGAACGTCATATAGCTTTTCAGCCTCATCTTGCCACGCAGCAGGAAGACTTCGCGCTCTATTGACAAACAAAAATTCGTTCACTCAAGGATGTACACCATTTCTTCTTTTTGCATGCTATGTTTGAGGATCATATCAATCACTATTTCCAATTTACAACAGTGCTAAATCTGTGGCTCCACCAGTTGAACACATGACAATATACGGCTAAAGATGAACTAGTTCCACACACATCAACAATAGAAGTCACTATTTCCAATTTACAACAGCCTGTTCGCTTGCTCGTATACGATCGTGGATTATAAGCTGGAACAGTATTTTTCTTTCACACCAAACCAGCCAGCAGTAAATAATCCACGATCGTTTACGACGAAACGAACAGGAACCATCAACTTGCCTCCACTTCTTGCTTCTCTGCATTTCCTTCCTCAGGTAGCTCCTGCAATGTCGTCAGGTTACTCAATTCTGTCTCTTGTGCTGAACTGGAAGTGGATAATCCATCAGCCAGAACAGGGGTTGACCGGTCTGAGTTGGAGCCTGAGTATTGCCCCATGGACTGCTTTGGTGTGTTTAATGCATGACAATGTGGGCAGTAGTAAGTAACATGTGGGTAATCTTCCTTTCGGGCCAAGCCTGCAAATATTAGTATTATTAGGTAATGAGTCCAATATTTAGGTATGGTATGTGAAACTTGTCAAAAGAGCTTGGTCTATAATACACACCGTTATGCATATGGCAGTTGCCACATATCAAAGCATAAGACTGTGATGGGTCCTCCCCCACAAGTAAGGCAGCAATCTTTCCAATCCATCCACCACCATGACTAACCCCTGAGCCTTGATGATGCTCTACCACCATTGGAACTGGTGCAGTTTCCAGGCCAGCACTAGCAGGTAGATTAGATTCAGTTCCCTGTGCTGGGGTATGAGCAGCAGGGCTCCCAGTCCTGCTTCCTCTTGCATTGGGTTGCTTCCTGTTTCTCAAACCATCTGATGGTACTATCTCAACATCATTGCTTCTAGCCACTGCAGCATTCAGCTTTGGTTCTTCTCCAACATGAAATTTTAAGCCAGTCTCCTCCCCAAGCTTAGATGCCAAAACTGAAGCTGCTGCGGCCTTTGCGGCTGGATCAAGATCATATTTCTGCACATGCATGATTAATGGTACATATCACAGTTCACTATTGGTGTGGCAAGAGACATGATAAAATTTGATACCAGCAACTAGTGAATTTATGTTCATTGAGTAATAGCAATTTGCCCACTTGCCTGAATAAGCTGTTGGGTAAGATAATAATTTGTTCTCTCTTTAAGCTCATCAATCTTGGCTTTCCTCTCAGCCCTCAATTTTTCAAGGGTCTTCTGGTCTTTCCGCTCAACTGCGAACAGATATAAATATAAATAGGAGCAAACAAACAGCAATTCAAGATCATTTTGTGGACAGATACAGAGGTTGTGACAAGTATACACTATACAGTGCAGATAACCATGTAAATGTATCCAGTCATTACACTCAGAGGAACGAGGGGCATGACCAAGGCTTTTTAACCAAGTAGGTATTATAGCACAAGAAGGGCGGGCCCGGTGCAAGCGGTAGAGTCTTACCGCCTGTGACCGGAAGGTCCCGGGTTCGAGTCGCGGTCTCCTCGCATTGCACAGGCGAGGGTAAGGCTTGCCACTAACACCCTTCCCCAGGTATTATAGCACAAGAACAGTTCTTCTTAAGTTTGTTTTCATATTTCTCATAAAGCTAGTTTTAAGGCGGGTTTTAAGGTTGTTTTGGAGGGAAAATGCGAACCGTCAGCATAACTGGGACATCAATCTACTTTCTCATGATTTCTACTGATGAAATTCCCAATTTGACTACTGACAAGTTTCAAAATGTTGATACATAAGAAGGGGAAATTGAGCAGCATTCAAAACAAAATACAAGCTTTGTGTTGTAAACAATATATTCAGGAGCCACATAGTATGAACTCTGAATAAAATCACCAGCACAATTTTTACTACAGACCATGCAGATTTTATAGGTGAGAAAACAAAAGGAAATATAGAACCTCTTATAAAATTACACAAAAGAAAAGAAATACAAAAACTGGTATGTTCTACAAGTTAGACAAGAAACAGTGTTTCCTAAGAGGGCTTTCTGGGTACTTACGCATCCTTGTGAAGTTAACAACTGCTGAATATATGACAGAGGATACAGCAGGAAGAATGAACATAGGCAGCACTCGCATTGCCCTCATTTGCCAAGTTAGATCCTCATCTCTTGTCATCATGATGGCATAAACAACAGCCAACACCTGAGAACATGACTGAACAATCAAACCAGTAGAAACTACAAGCTAGGGATGGGCAGCAAAAATTAAGTCACTGAAGGTTCAACACGAAAGGTAAATTGCATTTGCATCATATACAGTGAATCAACAACCAAAAAGGAAAAAAATATCATAAGAGTAGAAGAGATAAGCATCATGTGGAGGAGCATCTATTTTAGTATTTCATCACCAGTGAAGTTTTAGAACTCTATGAAATCCTAAAAAAACATGGTAACATATATTCATAATGCAAATACCATAACTTTATTATCCCCCCCAAAAAGAACAATGATTCACATAACTAAAGGAGCATAACGAAGGGCAAAACAGTGATGAACCCAAAAGGGACTTTCTCAGTTTGACAGAAAAGCAGCGGCATTCATTTTCAGTATACACACATTGGCTATTGGTCCACTCAAATACCTGATATCCTAAAGTTCACTGATAAATATTGAGGCACTAGCACAATACTCTAAACCCTGGCTATTGCATCCTTGAGATGCTTGCTTACCTATGCAAATGAACACATACAGATATACTAGCTTCCTCCATGAATAAGTAGTACATGGCTGACCTTTGCACGACTGATGAACTGAATAAGATTTTTTTTTTTCTGTGAACTTCAAAAACTTTAGTATAGACCAGTGTTCTTAAGGCGGTATGGCATCCTGTAGTGCCTTGAGTATGCCTTGTCACCTAGGCATTGCCTTGAGAACACTTCTTATGGTTACTGGTAACCAAAAATTACAAAGGAAAATAATGAACAGAACTGGATTTCTGAACATGCAATCCTGAGAAGAAATCACAGTACACATCCCTGTATCGATTTTCCAGCACGAAGATTTCACTCTAAACGCTGGAAGTTGAAAGAACAGTTCATTCCCATTACAATGGAACGATTAATACAGAACCGATTAACGACAGTGTTATCGTATTCACCAGTGATGCTAGGCATGAATCTTCATATGATGTGAGAAACTGCTCTTTAAGTCACTGGTAAACACAACATACTGCAACACAGAAAGACCATACATGTATCATAACTCGGATATACTCCGTAAGATATCTAATGCCTTCCAGTAAAGTGGCTGCCCTTTTACCCTTGGTCGAAACAAAAGAGAGGCATGTCATCCACATTTTTAAGAAAGTCATCTTTTCTGTTGTTCCTCTCCCGCACCCTTATAAGCTAACCTCAAGCATCAGAGCAATAAATCACCGTATGCGGCAGAGGCAGACAGTGCCTAGGGCTCGATTACCGGAACACGCGTAACACACACCATCGCATACTATGAGCAAACTCTCCTCCGCGTCCGCGATAACAAATCGAACAACCACGAATCCAAAGACGAGCAAACCCGCCAGCCGCATCGCCAGACCATCTCAGATCAGGGTGGGGGAGGGAAATACAGAAACAAGAGGGGCAGGGGGGGAGGAAAACACGTGCAGCAGACCTCGAAGAGGACGGAGAGCACGATGAGGTTCCGCACGGCGCGGCGCGAGAACTGCGTCCGGCGGCGCATCCGCGCATGCACGGCGGCCTCCTCCTTGGACAGGTACTGCAGCCGCTTCTCGAAGTCCTCGCGGCCGCCGAAGAGCGCCCGCCACACCCTCCCCAGCACCCCGCCGCCCCGCTTGCCCTTCTCCTTCGCCTCCGCCGCCTCGAGCGGGGCCGGTGTCCCCGCCTCCGCTTCCGCCGGGGAAGAGGCCATTGATTGATTGCCTTGCGGATCCGCGCGGCGCTGGATCCGATGGGGAGGAGAGAGGAGGTTGCCCGCGAGGGATGGCTGCGTGCCAGCCTCTGGACGCGACCCGAACCCGAATGGGGGGCTCTTTCCCTCGAGCCTCGAGAGCTCGTTCCCCCGTGGCCGTGGCTGGGTCCCGGCGCTGTAGCTTTTTCTTTTGGTGGCTCGTCGCAGGGAGCTCCCAAGTTCGTGACTAGGAATTAATATTTAATAATGTAGTATTTTTGTTTGTATTTAATAATTATTATTTAATTATGACCTAACTAGACTTAAAAGATTCGTCTCGTAATTTACAATCAAACTGTGTAATTAATTATTTTTTATCTATATTTAATATTTCATGTGTCAAAGATTTGATGTAATGAAGAGAGAGTGAAAAAACTTGAAATGTAAACAAGGCCCAAGTGGGGGCACGGAGAAATGGCAGGGACGCACGCGTGAAACCAGCGGGACTGCGGGTGGATCAAAGGGAGCCGGATTCAGTAACTTTGCTCTGTAAAGTTACCTCTTAACTTTTCGTTCATCTGGTGCGTCCATTTAACATCTAACGCATCTAGTGATTTCTAGCATGAACAATTCCCATTTCAGCCTGCTGGACGTGCGCGGACGCGTGCTGGTGGCGGCAGACCGCGGAGGTGAGCATGTCCGCGCGGAAGAGCATGGCCCCTTGCCGGCGAGGTCTTGCACTGCGCCTGAGATGGTGGCGCCCATCTCCTCCACGGCGGCGAGTAGCATGCCTGTCCCCATCTCCTCCCACTCCTCCGGGACGACGCGACGCCGGAGAGATCTGACTCTGCGCGGGACTCCATCTTCTCTGGGACAACTCGAATTCCGCCATCTCCGGGAAGGGGCTGATGACGGCGACATGCGGGAGGGCTGCGCACGAGTTGCACGCGGTGCGGGAGGGCTAGTGTGGTAAGTGTGGCACGAGACTTCTGCGGCGGCGCGGCGTGCTGTGCAGCTCTGAGCAGCGGCTCAGCGTGGCGAGGACTCCGTGAAAAGGTTTTTGGACGTCGGATGGCGAGCGCGGTGTCGAGCAGGGGGAGGTTGCGCGGGAGCGCGAACACCGGGTTGAACGTGAAGAAGCGGCGGAGGCGGGAGTGGCTCTGGAAGCAGCGTGCGGCCATGCCCGCGGCCTTGTGGAGCGCCCCCTCCGTGTCAGCCTTGACGTGCGTGGCGGGGCACTCGTTCAGCTCGGCCCGCGTCGCCTGCTGCAGGAGCTCGACGAGCTTCTTGGCGCCGGAACGCACGTCCGTGCAGTCCGTCGGGAGGCCGATGCGTCCCAAGTGCGGCTCCCAGCCGCCCACCACGGCGCTCCCGCATCTCCCGCGACGGCTCAAGTTCCGGTCATCCGCAACAGCGAGTAGCGTAGCATCCGCAAGGCTGCACGCACGCCCGCGATGGTGGTGCCGGTGGGGGCGATGCGCGCGGCTCCTGGCACCCGCGGCCGTCCGTGCCCGCGATGGCGACGGGCGACGGCGCTCCCTGCCGGCTCTGCCGCGAGTTCGGCCGCTTTCGTGCGCTAAGGCCCGCGTCCGTGCGGCCTGCGGCCGGAAAACCGATAGAAAAACCTAGAGCCGGGCGTTAAAAGTATTGGAGCCGTCGGATGCTAACTGGAGGATGGAAATTGAAAGAAAGTTACAACGTGACTTTGCTCTGTAAAGTTACTGAATCCGGCTCCGGATCAAAGGGCGTGGTTGTTTGTCTGGACGGGGGCCAGGGCATGGCCCATGCGGTGTACCGCGTCGTGTTTGTTTGTCTGGAGGGTGTTCGAGTCTGAGCCGCACGCTGCTTAAAGCAGCTGCGTGACTATCGAGATGAAAAAGTTATAGAGAACTGATTTTGTGTATTATCCCTACAGCGGGCTGCTGTGGCCCGTGCGCGGTGCCGGCTCCAAACCGTTGGGATGGAGCCCGTCGTTCCCTCGAGACCGGCGGTTTGGACGGCTCAGGTCCGGTCGTCTTTTGTTACCTGCCAGGGTACGTAGATTCAGGTAATTTTCAGGAGGCAGAGGCCAAAAGGTTTGGGAATCCGTAGGTGACGTTTGGCTGTAAACTTCTGGAAACGTTGAAAGAGTTGGCAAGGAACTGGATGCGCGCGCGGCGGTGGCATGTGCACGGCCAGGCGGGGCGGCCCGGCAAGTCAACACGCGCGACATAAAAGAGGATTGTTGGGGACAGCTCACCCGAGCTCACCTGCCACGATCTACCGGCACCGGAGTGGCCGGCTCCACACGCGTCGTCGTCCAGCATGCCTCCATGTTCCTCCATCGATGTTTCCGCCGCATTAAAAAAATCAAATCAAATGCCATGACGGGCTACCTAGCTTCCTTTAATAGTATGTTCGTTTAATTTATAAGCCATATTTTTTTTAATTAATAAATAATATTTTTCTCACGTAATAAATTAGTCATCAGTATTTTCAGTCATGACTTATGAGCCAAGTAAATAGAACAATTAATGTCCACATGCTGTGGCCTTAACAGAAAGGGCAGGTCTCCCTGCTTGCGATGGAAGTAGGGATCTGTCTGTCCTGTCCAGCTTCAGGCCTTCAGTTCAGTGTTATGCCCCGATTGCCTGTACAAGTTCGAAACATGATCTTGACTTGTAGCCGTGAGTTGCTCATCAAGCCAGAACGATGACATCTCATAACTGGGTTCCATGGAAAGTGACTAATTGTGTTGTACATTTGCAATGTCATGGTATTATTTTCTTTTCATCATGACTAGCAAACGTCTAAGTGCATTGCGGACGCATAGCTTACATTGTCTATTTAATACGTTTTAATCAAATTATGTTATTCTAATTCATATGAGCCTAAGAGCAACCACAGTATGCTCTAAAAACTGTCCGTAGGGACTAAATTAATTCATATGAACTATCTCAAACTTTATGAAACTAGCCATAAAGTAGTATTCCTCTGTCCCAAAATAGAAGTCGTTCTCGCTTCCCAAGAAGTCAACTTTTTTTTTACTTTAACCCAATATATACAAAATAATATTAATATTTATAATACATAATTAGTATCATTAGATAAATCATTGAATATACTTGCATAATAAACTTATTTGAAGGTATAAATGTTGCACGCATTTCTTTATGGGACAGAGGGAATATATAACAAAAGCTATCCATAAGCCTATTGGCCACCCATAAGCAATAAAAAACAATTACTCTCTCTCTATCTCCCTCCCTTGATTCTTGCTATGTATAGACCTTTTGAGCCTTCCATATTGTAGCAATAGATATAGGCCCTGTTTGGATACATGACTAAAAGGTGACTAAAAAGTAAAATAGAGAGGAGAGTGAAAAGAGAGTATAGTCACGTGTGAGCACTTTTAGTCCCTTTTAACCTACGTTGCAAGAGCTAATGGGTTAATGGAGGGCTAAAGATTAGCCCCTACTTTTAGTCCTCATGTTTGGATCCCCAAGAGCTAAAAGGTGGCTAAAATGGGAGGGCTAATCTTTAGCCCCTTGATCAAACAGAGCCATAGTTACATAACTCACTCATATGGACTACTTGATCTAATACATTATGGTTGCCCTAAGTATTAGCACTATACTATCTCTTTTGAGGTGGACAGCCCTAGCCCTAGCTCATCTCCTGCCTCAATAGCCTCATCAACTATGAACTTTTACCTCCCTCGAGCACGTCATTGACGTGACCGAACTTGAATTCGTCTCAAAGTTCACTCATAGTCAGCAGCAGGCCAATCTACTGCAATGCTAGTTATGAGCTAAACTAGCATCGCGGCCTATGTTAGTGAGAAAAGCACAATTATCACCATATATTACTAGCCTTCAACTGGTTTTGAAATATCTTCACTATAAATGTATCAGAACTAGCTAGACCTAAGCAAATTCAGCCCTGCTTCGCGTGAGCCGGCCGGGCTTGGCTCAGCTTATGGCCTTTAGTAGAAGGGCTTGGACCTGTCCAAAAACTTTCTTTTTAGATCGAGTTTGGCCCAAGATATTTATTTTAATTATTTTTTCACTAGAAATTGCACAGATGACCTTCCCAGGCCTAGGCCCAACCCGATTCTTCCAAGGCTTTTTTTCAAACTAGCCCACAAAATGCTCAAGTCTAGTCAGAACCGCACTTCTCAATTGGCTTTTGAAAAGATCGAGAACCATAGCAGGCCATATGCACAGTCTGCGTGAGATGAATACTCGAGCCACCAACAAACTGATTATAAATAAGTGATTGGGTTATTTGTGGTGGAACCTGTCCATCCGGGGTTAAGTCCTCGACTTGGCACGGGTGCTCTCGCATTTTTCTGGATTTATTTTAGGATTTAACGACGCTATGCTTTCAGTGGTAGGCGACGTTCCCGTCGACAGCGAGGCGCCTATGGTGACTTCGTGAATCTCGAGATCTGCCGGCTCAGTCCTTCGGAGGAGCTCATAGGAGTAGGATTTGTGCACGTGTGTTCATAGGGGTAAATATACGTGCGTTTTATAGGCGTCGACGTTGTACTATGTACTTCCAACACTACTTAATCAACGACGGTGCTACAAAGGTCCCCTAAATGGATACCCTATTAATATTGGTTGATATGAACCCTCCGATATATAAAACAATTGAGTATCATCAAGTTCTATAGGTGAGAAATCCTTTATTTGAGCACGCTTGTCCGATACATACAATCGCAGGGCTTCATCTTATTCTAGGTGGGAAATCCTTTATTTGAGCATGCTTGTCCGGATCCCTCTCAAATTCCGTAGTTAAAATTCTTAGCCCCTTTGGAACGTGGGATTTTTTTTTCCGTTCCTGCATTTTTCTTGCGAAAAATGAACTGCATCCTGTAAAATTCTTATGCAATTCATGTGGAACTCCTGTGTTCCGGAGGGACCCTCAGTGAATCTGGTTCAGCTTGTGATGGAGCAGAAGTATCATATGATTGGGAGTTTGGTTATCAACCGGTTCTACAGGTTTATCATTGTCATTGGTCGCTTTGATGTTTTTGTTGCTACCGCTGCTACTGCCAGACCTTGTTGAAGACTTAAAAAAACTATCGACTGTCTTTAATCTCTTCATCTTAGGCAAATGGTAAATGCCTAAATTAAAGATAAAAAAAAGAAATTATCATAGAATAGATAAATAACATCAAATTTACTTAACTTAACCACTTTTTTAAAATAGAATTAACTCTGCTTTTATAAAGCAAATGTAACCATACAAGGTACGCTGGTGTCGGTGTTTTATAAACCGGACTAGTAAATTTATATGATTGTCGCGCTGCTATAGGAAGACGATGGTAACATCAAAAAGACACGAGGATTTATACTGGTTCAGGCCGGAGCCCTACGTCCAGTCTCAGAGATGATTGAGTGCGTGTTCTTCACTTTAATGCTCTGAAGTTCTTACAATGGGGGTGCAAAAATGGTGGAAGAGAAAAAAGAGCTAGAGCTAGGAGATGGACTACTTGAAGAGAAGCTCCAGGAGCCCTATTACTATGAAGAATGAATGAAATGGTAGAGGATGTCCCAGATGGGTACTCTGGCTGTGCTTATATAGATTTCAGGGTCAGGGTACATACAAAGGAGGAGGTTCTCCCGACCGAAGGATCATGAGCCTGAGGGAGGTCCTAGCTAACTTGGCTTGCAAGGTACGCCGTCTTGAGGTACTCATCCAGGCGTGGTTGTCATCATGGTCTTGTGGCCACGTCGTGGCATGGTGTGCGCGTGATGCTACTGTGCCGGCCGTGACGGTACTGTAGACATGGTGGTGGTTTGCCAGCCGTCCTATGCGACGTGGTCTCCGTCGGGGTCTTTGTCATTGCCTCCTGGTTTCCTAGGATGTCGTACAGGAGTTGGTGGCCGCCCCAAGATTGTCGTTTGCCTTGTTGGCTTGAGGAGCGGGGGGGGCACGATTCCAGTCGCTAGGGTCATGGCTCCGTCGATCTGGATGGCCTCTAAGTCAAGGCTCTCCTCGTGGATCCCATCCCGTAGTGGGTGGGATCGTACCCACGTCTTGTCGGACCGTATTTGGACGGTGGGCTCCGTACTGGTCATCCCCGCGGGGCGGTGTTGTCTTGTTTGTGCAGCGTGGCATAGGGATGGCGTCTGACTGGACGGATATGACTGTTGTCCCCTCGGTCCTTGCGGGGTCGGTGGGGCGTGCTTGTTCTTGTCAGAGCAGGCACACTTGGCTGGGTTCGACCTCTCCCCGTTCCTTCCAGGGGTCGTGACGGGGGAGAGGTCGTGCGCCGTGCGGCTAATGCAGGAGGAAGGGGTCGTAGCTGACACCGGCCTTAGCATTCGGCCTGGTTTGCTTGGCTCAGTTGGGCCTCGGTCGTTCGGGCCTTTGCTAGCTGATATGTTGCGGGCCGCGTGGCCTACTAACCAATCGATGCCTTGAGACAACCCGGGGTTATGACCCCGACAGCTGGGGTTACCAACAACAAGTGATAAGCAACAACTAGTCCTGAAAAACATAATTACACTTCTGAAACATCTGATAACAGAATAGCATTCGGGCGAAAGTTCTTCATCCAAGACAGGACATTATTCAGAATTTGATCAACGCGCTCCTTGTCCTTCTCCTTGAGCTGATGACTCCATTCCTGCATAAGGGATATAACAACGTATATAACATCAGAAGGAGTCTTAGGGAAAACTTTCTCAATAGCCATCTTGTTTCTTGTAATCCATAGAGCCCATGCAAGACCTGCAAAAACAAACATTAACAGATTGCTAGGCAGAGGCCCCTTGCCCTGCAACCAAAGACAGCTGAGATCTTCCAGAGATGATGCACAGTATTCCAAGTTAAAAATTTCTTTGATAATACTCCAAATTAGCTTAGCCAAATGGCATTTGAATAGCAAGTGATCAACAGTGAATATCTCCTTTCCACCCCATTTTGGCTAAATTTTTAGCAACGTGAAATTTATTGTTGAACACTTGCCAAAGAATTTTTTTTTATTTTGATCCAGATGTAACCAGCAACCTTGCTAGTAACTCCCCTATTGGTAAGAAAACGATATAAGGATTTAGTAGTAAAATGACCCTTACTCTCTAGAGCCCATTTCACAGAATCATTATGTTCTGGAACTAAGCTAACACCCTGGAGCATGTCTTTCAATTCAGTCCACCTATTAAACTAAACAAACTAAAGATCGATTCTGTTATGAGTGCATTACCTATTTACTGTACAGTACTTCAGTAGCGCTCTCCTGGAACGGGCAGAGTGCCAAATGGCAGAGAGAACCCCAAGGGCGGGCCGGCGGGGCGGCGGGCGACGGCGGCAGCCTGGCCGATTTGCAGCTTCG